GGGACATGAGTGCATCGGAAACGAAGGCTCGGGTCTAAGTTGTGGGACAAGAACACAAAAGAAAAGAAAAAGAGTGACGCTTGTCAAATTCCAACGTCCTAGAAGCCCGAGATTGCATAAGAAAGAAAAAACAAAAAAAGAGAGAAAGGGAAAGAAAGAAAAAGAAAAAGAATACAAAAACAAGAATAAAAAGGAAAGAGATAGGGCAAAGAAAAATAGTGAAATTATGGGCCAAGTAACTTTTAGAGACCTCATTTGGGATGTGTTTAGGAGACATGCTCGGCTAGTAGGATATACTCCATTTTAGATCCCGGAAAACAATGGAAATCCCATTGATGGGCTTTGCTTGAATGTTGGAAAAGATAGAGTATACCAAAGCCGATTTCATTCGCAGCGACTTTAACCCGGATAACCAATCCACTCTTAACCCCCATTCGTATTCCAACTATATCATATCACCCCTTGGATAGTTTTGTAATTGCGCATTTACTCGAGGACGAGCAAACCTCAAGTCTGGGAGGATTTGAACACACAGGTTTTCCATTGGTTTTTCTAACGTCACATACTTCAATTTTTCTCATATCTTAGGTATAATAGGACGTTAGACGGTCATGGGTAGGATTCTTTCCTCCATTTTCCTTGCAGGATGATCGAACGAGGACATTTACGCACGAGGCACGGAAAAGGAGCAGAATCGAGAAGTCTCGGAGGACTCAGAGAAAACGAGCAGGCCGCCTGTTTTCACAGGCGGTCGTTCGTTGTGATAGGCGAGCAAGTGGGCGGTCGTTCGCAGAATCAGGCGGTCGCTCTGCGCGATTACAGAGAAAACGAGCGGCCCGCTCGTTATACCAGGCGATCGCCTCGAGTCGCAAAGAAGAATGAGCGGTCGCTGGTGAATATGAGCGGTTGCTCCCCTGAAGAAAACGAGCGACACTGAAGAAGAAATGGGCGACCCTGAACAAAAAGTGGGCGACCGCCCGATATCAAATCCGGCCCAAAAAGGAAAAGCCCGATTTTTGAGGAAAAACCTAGTTTTGGCACTTACACAAAAGGGGGATCTGGAGGAGAGAGAAGGCGAGTTACACACTTTAGAAGAGAATCACTTTGAAGAGGAGTTTTGGGAGAGATTTGGAGATCAAGAGAGCATTTTGGAGGAGAAGACACCATTGAAGACCATTTTGAGCATTTCTTCTCCTTTTCTATGTTTCTTTACTTTGCTTTCTGTTTTGAACCTCTAGTTATCTATGATGTTTTTGAGTTTTCTTCCATGGGTTTGATGTTTTGTGCTTAATGCTATTGATTTGGATGAAACCCTAATTGATATGACCATAGAACACATTGATCATAGGGATATGGGAATGATGTTTGGAACCAAATATGAAATGAGTGAGTTATTCACATTGGGAGATGGCTTAGCTTGCTTAGGGTTCATGATAGGGTATATTAATGCATCTAGAGATCATTTGGATCATTGGGAGATGGGTGAATCGATTCTCTAGGTAGTGAGTTTAAGCTCGGGAGAGACAAACTCTAGAAAAAGTGTTTGAAACCCCCAATTGGAAGACAAACCCTAAGATATTGTAGCATCTCTAACCGTCCATGCGATTCATGAGGGATCCCGAACCTACAACGCCTCAAACCATCATTTTACGAACCGTTAATTTTACTTGTTTTCTTCTATTCCGACACTTACTACAAACTACATTTTTATTCGACCACCTAATCTAGCTTAGAGATAGACTAATACATCATAGTCCTCGTGTTCGACCCCGGTACTACAACTACCGTATACTTGCGGATAGTGGTACGAATCGAGTATTAAATATAAGACTCGGTGCGTGCGCATCACTGACCCGCTGACGAAGCCTCTCCCTTCGTCAAAGCATGATGGTCATGTTATGGGTATGGGGATTAGATGCTTGTAGGATAGATCATAGAGCATAGTGGGAGATTGTTGGTTGTAATGCTCTACGATGATCCGTGATATGACATTTTGACTATGTATTGATTCATTGGTTTATGAATGCATTACTTGTCCCGTTATATGATCGGGTTTCCGGCCGGGCTTGAGGCCCGTTAATTTTTTTTTTGTTTTTTCTAACCTTCTTTTCTAAACCAAAGTTTTACCTTTCTATATTTATAAATATGTGTGCCTATATTTGAACCAAATGATGAACTTTTATATCTTGGTTCCAATTAAATTTTTTAAAGTGACGAGAGTTTTGAATTTCTTAACCATATTACATCATATATATATATATAAGTTTACATTTTAGAAAGGGTAGAAGTTTTCAAATATATATATTTTTAAACCTTTGTTTGTATATGAACATATTGATTTTTTTTCTATAGGTTTTAAATTAATTACATCATAGAATTTCTTTTTATATTAT